ATTTGGATATCAAACTAGCCCAATATTGGGCTAGCCCAATATTGAATAAGTAACCAACTTCACGCTGGTTGTATAGTTCCTGTACACGTGAGTCTATTGCCACGTGTCACTTGTCTTACCCTGTCGTGTCCATATAAGATGATCGTTCTAAATATAGGTCTGACCTCGTTTTGGTCAGTGGTCGGTTCAGGTATCTTTGTTACATTGTACATGTTGTAGCGCGGTTTTAGCATTTATTTATATACGGAGCTAAAGGGTGGATGTATTTCATATCAAGGAGTTTCAAGTTTTCAAGCTTTTTTTCAAGATCTCTTACGTACGATATATAGATATGACAAAGTCTTGTGATTGGTTTATGTTAGATTTTTATATTAATGTGATGTTGGATAAAATGGCATTAATCAAGGTATGAAATTGTACTTTTTATAAAAATATAAAAAAGGATCATGATCTCACGTAATGTGTACAATGCATAAAAAAGCTCTCTCGTTTAAAAGTAATGTATATGTTTGTATCAATATGTACACTGTTAATTTCATGTATCTTTTACAAATATTCCTTCATTGCATACAGAACAAATACAGATACAGATCTGATGTGTGCAAATCTCCGACTCGTGTGGTTAGGGTTGGTATTTCAATACATAAATATATGGGGCAAAGAAGTAATATAGACGGTAAAATCCCATATAACACGGGATCCTAATGGAGGTTTGTCCGTAGGATACGAATAACTTAAAATATGATATGGGGCAAAGAAGTAATTCCAACAGTGTGGACAAGTTTAGGTTGTCAAATTTTCGGAGCGATCCGCTCCTTTTTCAAGACACAGTGAGACAGAACAGTTACATGTACATATACATCATATTACAGAAGATAGAAATGATATACTATAAATGAAAATATAGCTATTATATAAAACCAATAGTCCCCTCGGCTAAAGACAGCCGAAGGCAGCAATTAAGCTGCGAGCATCGCGGACAAGGAACGCTGATGTAGGGGACCTATTCTTGCGCAAGATGCACTGTCATATAAAGTGAGTCAACGAGAGATAGTAAAATTGTGGAGTACATTATTATATATATATATACATAATAATATAACTACCTAATTAATAAGGTTAATTGTATCTTATATATGTATAAGTAATTTGTAATTAAGTAGTTCTACTATTGATTACGATGACGTCAGATTTTTTTAAGTTACTTGTGTGTAAATGTATAAACTATGTATGCACTGAATGTACATCATGTTAGGACCTTATATGTAAGCGCTGCTTTTCATTATCTTATCTGATGTATTGTGTCTTTGTAGGATTTTTATTGGTTTTTCATATATTGTGGAAATAAACGCCATGTAATCAAGAAATCTGCGACATCCTTCTTTCAACTTAACATTATTACATGTAAAGTGCAACGACAACAATATAATTATAGCGAAATCGTTTACGCAACCTCCTACATCAACCTATCTCTCAAATTGGGTTTCAATGCGTTAGGATTGCACACTGTTGAATGTATGGTGAATTCACGCATTTGTAAAGTTTTAACATTATTCGGCTTTTGTAAAAGAGAGACGTTCTGTGTAATTAGATAAAAGGCAGCTTCCATTTGGAGTCTGTCCAGAGTACAGGATTACAGTCCACTGTAGTGAGGACATAACCTTTTATCAAATAGAGAATTAATTATTATTTAGTGGTAGAACTGTAATGAATAACCTCTCGACATCGGTCTATTATAAAATAAACACTAACTTGTGTTCCCATTCCTCTGATAATGTAAATCGTATGTAGATATGTTTGATTTTAAAATAAAGAACTTAAATACATATTACGACTGTGACTCCGGTTTCGTATTTCACATGGCCTACTTTAACACAAATACACAGTGAATTACACACGGAACGCTGAAGTCGTCTATGTGTTATCTACTTTCATTACATTGTGTACGATGGCCGATAGTGGCCGACAGAACACTCATATTAGTAAAAAGTGTTCTGTCTGACAGTTTGTCAAATTATAAGAGGGCATTTTACACATTTTACAAAAAGTGTTAACTGTCATGACACTTGGTCAGTTCATGCATGGCAGTTTACTCATTTTACTTTCACAAAATAAAAATTGGGGTAGGAGGGAAAGATGGAAATAGGGTCACATTCCTAGGGCTGAGCAGAACAGAGTATGCTATTCCAAAGAACTTAGTTTACCTTTAACATAAATCACACGAATTAGACGGTATTTTAAATTGTTCATCGTGTGCAGGGAGCAAGAGGGAGTTCCTGCTATGAAGTAAGTAAAACGATGCTGTTTAAAAAGTATTTATAATATATATGTATACTGGTTTGAATATGTAAACTTAAGGGTTTATTGACGATCACAAGTTCAATACTGAAGGTAGCACTAGACTCTACTGGCAGCAGAATAACCTTTCTTGGTCATGTTACACACCGTGTGCTTGATCTGAAGGTCACAAAGAGGAGGCTAATAGTTGTGTGAGGCTTAAAATACTATAACGTATATTCTTTTGTATTTGATACCTTGTCGATTTTTGTTTTTTGTTTTATTTCGTTTCTTGTTTTTGTTTATATTTTTTTCAATAAAAACCCCAAACAAAACAAAACACAAAATACTATAGAACAACAAACACTATCACGCATTAACGAATTCACTACTTTTAAACACAAACACACATTAACATACACCAGAAAACGAGACATATATTTCATTTATCATGCACTAATTACCAATAATTTGCACCGTACATTTATGAACTACTGTTATTTCTATATGTGTCTTATTATGTTGAATCTCATTGTGTTTTTCCCGGTTGGACCATATACCATATGCGTTGAATGGGTAGTTGCTTGTATGTTTGACCATATTTTTGCACGGCCTTTTCCATGCTCTGTCCCGGAATACAAAATGTCTATATGTACTGAACTATACCGAGCAAGAATTCCGTCTTTGCATATTGCAGAGTTGTCTTCTCTTGTGAGCAGGTATTCATTGTTACGTCATTTGTTAGTGTGAAAAAATTACGTCGTTTTCTCAAAATTTGATGACGTTACTCTCACAAACCAATGACGTAACAATCAATACCTGCTCACAAGAGAAGATAACTCTGCAATATGCAAAGACGGAATAGGTCGATGGCTGTCTCTTACCTTAACATACCTCAACGTACCATCACCAAATTTGTTTATTCTCCTTCTTGGTGCAATAGTTGCCATATCTTGTTATCACATCTTTTTGTACCTTATGGTCGACATCTATTGATGGCTCGCTAACAATGTGCAATTTTTAGAGTAGAGTGTGCAAAATTTCAACTCATCAGACTATTTGATACTGTCCTGTAGTTTGAGTTGAGTAAGAGAAAAGGCTATCGTAGTCTTAATACTTTCCTTCTCACTGTCAAGGCTACTGTATCTTATCGCTGCTATAGAAACAAATACAGGCTCTATCAGTGACACATCTAGCTTTTCGTTGTTACCTTCTGACGAGTTGCTACTCTAATAACTTATCATTCATGCATCTGAATGACCTTCTCTTTACGGAATTATATAGTTTTAGTATTTTAGCATTTACTGAAACTTGGTTTAATGAATCACAAAATCGATAGCAATTTATGTAATGAACAATATATTTGCTAAAAGAGGACAGGGCATGGAAGTAGGCGGCACAGAATGCGTCTGGATCGAGGTTTCACATAAAGAACAAAATTTACTATTTGGAACTTTTTACAGACCGCCAAACTCTGTGAGCGCTTGTCTGTCTATGTAGGTAATAAACTACCGACGACTGTGCTACAGTACATGACACATATTTATGTACAGTGACATATAATTACAAAGAAATACACATATCACCAGATTCTTACACCATTTCACACCTGTGCCTGTGACAGAACATAACAAAAGACATAGTAACTACAATGACATATGGGCTGTGATCCACTGTTGCTGTAATTTCATATATATATTATATAGTCGGTATCAAAAGTCTACCACTGAACAAATAGACATTTCACACTTTGAGGCAGACCTACCACGGAGCCAGAGAAGGACACTGAGAGTAGTAAATTAAGGGAACATCTCAAAATTATTTTTCATTTCATCTGTATCAAGGATTCCTGTCCGCTGCTTGCTACAAAACGATCTTTTAGTGCTCCTTACCTACAGTAACATCCCCTGATTTTCATTATATGTACAACTGATAATCTTCTCTTGGCTGATCTCACCTGTATGCTAGAGTTGATCGCAGTAGTATAGAAATCCGAAAATTCACTCCCTGAAATGATCCCTAGAACAGCAAAAAATAATTATGCCCCCCCCCCCCCCCCCCAATATTTAAATATTTTGGTTGTGTTGCATGGAGAAAATTCCATGAAAGCTGTCGATGTAAAAGTAAGTCGAAAATAGCAGAAAACTGAATAAATTTCTACTTTTCTTCTGTTGTTATTTTTCAGGAGAATAAACATGAACATATGTCAATACAGAAAACCACTCCTTTTACGCCATCATGTTACAGTTGCTAAGGAACATTCATAAACGTTACTTTGTCACGACGGGGGGCTGATAAACGTTCTTTTGTCCAACCAACTCTATACAAAAATGCAAAGGAATGAAGTGCCGTTGGTGGGTTGGTGGGTTGGTGGTGGGGGTGGGGGTACTGAATAACCTCTGTTGACGTCATAATGACGTGATTTACCTGTGACGTCACGGAGGTTGTTTGGATGGGTTGTCTGAACTGCGGTAGCAGTACACTGATCGTGATGAGAGAGAATCATATTTATTCGCTGAAGTAAACAATGTCTAGCTTTCCTATAGCTTTAAATGTAAATAGAACTGTGATGAATTTCAGCATAGTTGTAATGTTTATTCGTCGAAGTTAACAATTTCTAGCTATTCTATTGCTTTTAAATGAAATAAATTTGAGACGAATTTCAACATAGTTGTAATGTTTATTCGCTGTAGTTACACCTGACTAAATACACAGACGCTTACCTCTCTTTCAAATTACAGGCGTCTGCTAATTGCTGTGAAGAGACGGCTTTGTCAAGTCGTTTCAGCTCATCAAAAAGTCCCAGGTCCTTTCCCAGCCTAATGGCGGAGGTGATGTAACTTCCAGTGATGAAATCTGTAATGTTTTTAGAATATGTTTCCAAATCCATTTTGTTATTTCAAAAATGTTATGGCTAAACCTCTCTATTTCCGAGGCGGGACACGTTTAAATTGCGTTTATGAGATGGTCACCTATTTATACATGTAGTAGTTAGCTATGGAAGCCTGTTAATACATTAGTGTCGGTAGGGAGTACGATGTAGATGGACAGTAACTGGACTGGCTCGATCGATTGCAAAAAGGTAGCTCAATATGTGAGCGTCCGTCTAGAGTTCGAATGTCCCGGATTCGAACCTTGTCTTGCCATTGCGATTTTCCTTTTTGTTACATTGCTGCCAACTAGCTGCTTCTTACCGACAAATCTACAGGTAGATGGTTTTCGTAAGCCCGATCAGTATAGTGTCAGACTACATATAGTAAACCAGTGGTCTTGGGTTCGATCCGTAGCTAAAGCATTGAAAATAACGACCTCTGTTACATAGATACAGTTGAGTTAGTAACGTACATATCATCTTGTTAACATTTTTATGACCTGACAATGTAGTTTGCGTAAAACACATCCTCTGCGACAGTTTACATATGTTTGTTCAGTTTGCAAAGAACGGACGTATGTACCTTCAATGTCGAGGCAGTTTAGCATGGAGAGAACATGCGTTCGGGGCCAGTAAGTAAGTTCCCTTGTCATGATACTATGCTTATATGACCATGCATTTGATCAGAATTATTACAATCTAAAAATTCCTACTGCTGTTCTGCATTGGACTCGAAAGCAAAGCGCCAGTATCGTACAGTGGTGGGAAACTATAGGTTTGTTGATATTTGTGTAAGTTGTTAATCAGGTGTATGGTTTATTATTTTTATAAACAGATGCGTTATTACCATTTACGTTGTAGGCTTCCTGAAGGCCCCATCAGTTATAATACTGTCTTTCAGCGGATAATCGAAACTACAATTACGGATATATCACTTTTTGTTATATAACTGATGTCTTTGCACTTCTTCTCACGAAAGTGTACGTTACAACAAAGTCTAGGCTACCATGGACGTGTAAGCTGCCCCCTGATGATTTGACAAAGTGACAGGCAAAAACACTTTAGTAATACGAGTGTTCTGCCGGCCGCTATAGGCTATCGTACTATGCAGATTAACTGAACATATTTATTTGACTTTAACACAAAGCAGTTCCATAATAAAAGGTTCAATCGTAAACCAAGACGTCTTGCCCTTTGACTCTGGAAGCTAGTTAATGGTAATATGCTACAATGACTATAGCTATAAAATGTTAATTCAAGGAAAATATATATTGTGAAAAATATTGAGTATCGACAGACGAACAGATAGTTGTGCATTTATTACAGGAGATTATTGAACCAATAGAAGCATCCTCCACTCTTTACTATAATATATCGTTATTGCCCACAAACACACCTACAATGCATTTGTTACAAATTCAAAACTAACAATAATTATTGCTACATGGACTTGCTACTCCATTTCAAATTCGTTTTAGAAAACTTAAAAAGTTAGACCGAGGAAAATGAATTCCTTACAAACTGTTCCCCCTTTTTGTCACCTACCCCTCTAAAAGTAGATCGATGTTGTATTTTTATTTGTGATTATTGTCAGATGTAACATATACGAAATCGTATCAGAATAAGCTTCCCATTCGTGGCGTAGCTTAATACCTGGACAGAAAAAACATTTATTTTTATGAAATAAGATCACTTGAATAACAAAATTGTATAGTTATTACAGTACTGAGTAGAGGTGAAAGGGTATCCGTGTTCATATTTTCTTTTTTTGTCATAGTTCTATTGTTTTTGTCATAGTTTTATTGATTTTGTCATAGTTCCATTGATTTTGTCCTTTTTCTATTGATTTTGTCATAGTTCCATTGATTTTGTCATAGTTCTTTTGATTTTGTCATAGTTCCATTGATTTTGTCCTAGTTCTATCAATTTTGTCCATGTTCTATTGATTTTGTCCTAGTTTTATTGATTTTGTCCTAGTTCTATTGATTTTGTCCTAGTTCTATTGATTTTGTCCTAGTTCTATTAATTTTGTCCTAGTTTTACCAGTTCTATTGATTTTGTCCTAGTTCTATTGATTTTGTCCTAGTTTTACTAGTTCTATTAATTCTGTCCTTGTTTTAATAGTTCTATTGATTTTGTCCTAGTTCTATTAATTTTATCCTAGTTCTTTTGATTTTGTCCTAGCTCTGTTGAGTTTATCCTAGTTCTATTGATTTTATCCTAGTTCTATTGATTTTGTCATAGTTCTATTAATTTTGTCATAGTTCTATTGATTTTATCCTAGTTCTATTGATTTTGTCCTAGTTCTCTTAATTTTGTCATAGTTCTATTAATTTTGTCATGGTTCTATTGATTTTGTCATAGTTTCATTGATTTTGTCCTTTTTCTATTGATTTTGTCATAGTTCCATTGATTTTGTCATAGTTCTTTTGATTTTGTCATAGTTCCATTGATTTTGTCCTAGTTCTACCAATTTTGTCCATGCTCTATTGATTTTGTCCTAGTTTTATTGATTTTGTCCTAGTTCTATTGATTTTGTCCTAGTTCTATTAATTTTGTCATAGTTCTTTTGATTTTGTCATATTTCCATTGATTTTGTCATAGTTTCATTGATTTTGTCCTAGTTTTACTAGTTCTATCGATTTTGTCCTAGTTTCACTAGTTCTATTAATTTTGTCATGGTTCTATTGATTTTGACCTAGTTCTATTAATTCTGTTCTTGTTTTACTAGTTCTATCGATTTTGTCCTAGTTCTATTGATATTGTCCTAGTTCTATTGATTTTGTCCTAGTTTTACTAGTTCTATTAATTCTGTTCTTGTTTTACTAGTTCTATTGATTTTGTCCTAGTTCTATTAATTTTATCCTAGTTCTTTTGATTTTGTCCTAGCTCTGTTGAGTTTATCCTAGTTCTATTGATTTTGTCCTAGTTCTATTAATTTTGTCATAGTTCTATTGATTTTATCCTAGTTCAATTGATTCTGTCCTAGTTCTCTTAATTTTGTCATAGTTCTATTAATTTTGTCATGGTTCTATTGATTTTGTCATAGTTCTCTTGATTTTGTCCTAGTTCTATTGATTTTGTCATAGTTCTATTGATTTAGTCATAGTTCTATTGATTTTAACTAGTTCTATTAATTTTGTCATAGTTCTATTGATTTTTTCCTAGTTCTATTAATTTTGTCACAGTTCTATTGATTTTGTCATAGTTCTATTGATTTTGTCTTACTTCTATCGATTTTGTCAGATTTTTATTGATTTTATTCTAGTTCTATTAATTTTGTCCTAGTTCTATTGATTTTTGTCATAATTCTATTGATTTTATCCTAGTTCTATTAATTTTGTCATAGTTCTATTAATTTTGTCCTAATTCTATTGATTTTGTCATAGTTCTATTGATTTTATCCTAGTTCTATTGATCTTGTCCTAGTTCTATTGATTTTGTCCTAGTTCTATTAATTTTGTCATAGTTTTACTAGTTCTATTGATTTTGTCCTAGTTCTATTAATTTTGTCCTAGTTTTACTAGTTCTATTAATTCTGTCCTAGTTTTACTAGTTCTATTGGTTTTGTCCTAATTCTATTAATTTTATCCAAGTTCTTTTGATTTTG